CGATGGCGGCGCCCAACCTGCCGGCGCTGCTGTCGGCCTCGGACCTCAACGTGAGGTCGATGAAGAGCAACCTCAAGGCGGGCGGCGCAGGTGCGCTTTCCGTGCTCATGTGCTGCTCGCAGGCGCTGCACAGCCTGAAGGCGAGCGGCGAGGAGATGGGGCCGGAAGGCGCGGTGTACCTCGGCCACGGCATCGCGGGCGCCACCTCGATCACGGAGCTCGACGTGTCGAACAACAAGCTGTGCGGCATCGAGGCCGCAGATGAGCGGGAGGCGTACAACGGCACGCACTTCGGCACCTTCTGTAAGCTGCTCGCCAAGAACTCGAGCCTCACCAGCCTCGACGTGTCGGCAAACTACATCCTGGCCGACGGCACCACGGCGCTGTGCGCCGCGCTCGCCGGGAACAAGCGGCTCAAGACGCTCAAGCTCAACGACTCGGCGATGCAAGAGGCGGGCTGGATCGCCCTCGCGAGGATGGTCGAGGACGCGCCCTCGCTCTTGGTGCTCGAGGCCAACTGCAACCTCGAGTTGATGCGCCCTGCCGAGATCCCAGCCGTCGCCAAGGCCATCGCCTCGGCAGTGGGGCGCAGCAAGAGCCTCACTAGCGTCGACCTCTCCTCGCAGGAGTGGAAGAATGGCGAGGCCAGCGGCCTGCTTCCGCCGCTGCTGGACTGCAAGTCGCTGGCCACGCTCAACCTCTCCTGCGCCGAGTGCGGGCCCCACGTTGGCGCGGGCCTGGCGCAGCGCCTGAAAGGCCACCCGGCGCTCACCAGCTTGCAGCTCGACTCCTGCGAGCTGGGGTCGGGCGCGCTGCCCATCTGCGCCGCCGTCGGCGACTGCGGCCTCACTGAGCTCAACCTCTCCAGCAACGAGCTGGACGCGGCTGCTGCCAACGCGCTCGGCGAGGCGCTGGCCAGCAGCGTGACGCTCAAGAGGATTGACATCCAGTCTAACCTGATCGAGGAGGGCGGCGTGGCGCTGGGCAAGGGCCTCGCCGCCAGCACGTCGCTGACGGAGCTTGAGCTCAGCGACTGCGCGCTGGGCGACGAGGGCGGCGCGGCCGTCCTCGAGGCGCTCAGGGCAACACCACGCTCCAGGTCCTCAAGATGAGCGACAACAAGTTGAGCGCGGGCGTGGCTCCCGCGCTGGCGCCATCGGCACCGAGCGCATCA